TTTGAAAAGTACGAAAAAGAATTGTCGTTTCTATTATTTTTTCCATGACTGTACTTTAAAGGGTCGGGGAGATGTCTCCTTCTCTGCGTTGCACACTTTTGACCAAAATTATAATACCCTCAGCAAGGGTATAAAAATGTATCAGCCACGCACCCCAGCTGTTTCGCGGTAGGTCTGTCGACCAGATCAACGTAAGTTGGTTTTTTTTTAATTAAGCAATTAAGCCTACTACTCAGACGGATACGTGGAAAACAGTTATTCAGCGAGCAAGTAAAACAAATTAATAACATAAGTAAATTATATTATCTTACACGCATATGGGCGTTAGTAAGCGAGAGCGAGCTATTGCACAAACAACCATAGGGCTGTAAAAGCAAAGAGCTGAGCGAGCTCAGCAACAGGTACTGAACTTTAAACTCGGACGCAAGCGTACATGTGTGCGAGCGAGAGTTTGTATATGGTGTGTCCATCTGTCCTTGTCGTTGTAACCTTGACCGTCAATGCATCGCTCGTTGCGTATTAATTTTCGAATCATCAATAAATTTATGTATTTCGACTGCGCATGCCCTTGAGACTTGGATGTCCAACAAAATAACTCCTTGCAACTCACCGATCTTACTATATCGTTTCTGTTGCTCTTCCACGACTAGATGCTGCTTCCTGTTCGTTTTCCTCTCTTCACCCGTTTAGAGCACGACAAAGGTCTTAATTCACCTTATTGAGTTAAGTGGGAGGGAGGGACGACTGCCACCGTGAGGGCAGCAACAAGTTACTGTTACAATTTCATTGACATGCCTTTCGCTTAAGCACTAGCTTAAATCGATACCATAGACTCGTAGAAATTTGGGAAACATCGATATTTTTTCTGAAACTATTAACATGCAAATAAGACCCCGTTTACACTAAGGCTAATAATTCAGCCCACTGATAAAGTTCTTACACTGGCGCTTAAAATAGTTTTTGACAGTTGTTCCTTTCACACAAACACCCGCGGTTTCAAAAACAGCTGATTAGCTGTTTACAAAAAATAACAAACGGAACAAGAATAACAAAGAATAAAAACAAAAAAGCGAATATTAACGCAAAACTAAATTAAATTTTAGCATTGGAATGTATTAATAATTACCAGTAAATTAAAAAAACTACTGTTCAATTCAAATTGTATTGTTTTTGAATTGTCTTGTCCAGCGGCAGACTTGTCTTGCTAAGGTAGTTAAGAATATGCTTAAAATGATTTTTCCCGCAAAACAGGATTCTTAAATTTTAATCTTTTAAGCCTAGTACGCAGATCGACGAAAACTGTTCCCCAGTGATGAGAGAGAGCGAGAGGCAAACAGCTGGCGTTCACTTTTCATTAGGCTTTTCACCTCAGTACTCAAATCGACGAAAAAAAAAATACTAGAAAATTACTTCGCGTATCCAACCACCTAAAATGAACTTTTGGTGAACCCTAGCGCAAAGATTAAAACATTTAATCTTTTGGAGTGCGCTTCTCACTGAATATTTTAAATAATGGAGGGAAAAAAAACCCCGCAAAGATCGATTGCAGGAGTTTACTTGTAAGGACAAAATAACATTAATACCATCTGGGGTGCCTCTTGTCAGAGCAAAGTGTTTCTTAGGTCAAAAATGTACGAAAAAACACATAAGTTCAGCTATAAACTTTAAATAAGCAAATAATTGTCAGTAAATTAAAAAAAAACAACTGTTAAATTTAAATTGTATTGTTTTTTAATTTCTTTGTACAGCGGCAGACTTGTCTTGCCAACGTAGTTGATAATATCTTTTAAAGGCTCTTTCCCGCAAATACGATTTTTGAATTTTAACTGCTTGTCAACAAACCCAGCTGATTGACAGTAAGACCTAGTACGCTCAGTTCGGATGAACTATCGAACTTTTGGTCACACTGGAAAGATTAAAGTTTTTACGCTAGCGTACTCGTTGGTCGATCTGAGTACTAGGCTTTAATCTGTTGTCAGAGCAGAGTGTTTTTTTAGGTCAAAAATTGACTGAAAATCACAACAAAATCTCCAGCCATGATCTCTAGATTACCAAAGAATTATCAGTCATTAAAAAAAAAAAACTGTTAAATTTAAATTATATTGTTTTCTAATTTCTTTTTATAGCGGCAGACATCTTTTGTCAAAGTAGTTAAGAATATCCTTTAAAGGCTCATTCCCGCAAATAAGATTTTTGAATTTTAACTGCTTGTTAACAAGCCCAGCTGATTGACAGTACGGCCGTACCACGCTCAATACTGATGAACTTTCAAAAATGCTGTCACACTGGAGGATTCAAGTGTTTCCGCTGGCGAACTCTTTTTTCGATCTGAGTAAAGAATAGTACTCAGATCGACAAAAACTGTTCGTCAGTCATGAGTAAGACCGAGAGGCAAACAGCTGGCGTACACTTTTCGTCACGCTTTTTTTTTTACCTCGGTACTCAGATCGACGAAAAAATACTAGAAAATTACATCGCGTTGCCAACCACTTTAAATGAACTTTTTGTGAACCCCATCGAAAAGAATACAAAATATAATCTTTTGGTGTGCAGTTCTCAGTGAACATTTAAACAAAAATACGTTATTATTATTTTAACTGCTTGTCAACAAACCCAGCTGATTTACAGTACGACCGTAGGACGCTTAATTCGGATGAACCCTCGAAAATGAAGTCACACTGGAAATATTAATGTTTTTACGCTAGCGTACAAGTTTTTCCGCTGGCGAACTCATTTGTCGATCTGAATACTAGGCTTAAGTACATCACACCGATACTCGGTTCGACGAAAAAATTGTATATCTTTGCTAGTCTGCTGAAATGAACTGTGGGTGAACGTTCGTCAGGCCCTAGCGAAAAGATTTAAAAATGTAATCTTTTGGGGTGATTGTTGTAAGAGCATAGTGTTTTTCAGGTCAAAAATAGACCGAAAAACACAACAAAAACACAGAAAAATCGTCTGCAAGAACTTAGGGCAGATATGATCTCTAAATTACCAAATAATTTTCAGTAATAAAAAAAAACTACTATTAAATTTAAATGATATTGTTTTCTAATTTCTTTGTATAGCGGCAGACATGTCTTTCCAAAGTAGTTAGGAAATCCGTTAAAGGCAGTTTCCTGCATATAAGATTTTTAAATTTTATCTGCAGCCCAGCTGATTGACAGTACGATCGAAGCGGGCGCGATACTGATGAGCTCTCAATAATGCTGTCACACTGGAAAGATGAAAGTATTTCCGCTGGCGAACTCGTTTTTTGCTGTAGAGTTCAAGACCTTAAACCTAGTAATCAGATCGAAAAACGAGCTCGCTAGCGGAAAAATGTCAATCAGCTGGGTTTGTTGACAAGCAGTTAAAATTCAAATATCGTATTTGCGGGAAAGAGCCTTTAAAAGATATTATCAAATACCTTGGCAAGACAAGTCTGCCGCTGTACAAAGAAATTAAAAAAACAATACAATTTAAATTTAACAGTTGTTTTTTTTTAATTTACTGATAATTATTTGCTAATTTAAAGTTCATAGCTGCACTTTTATTGTGTTTTTTCGTACATTCTGGACCTAAAAAACATTTTGCTCTGACAAGAGGCACCCCAGATAGTATTAATTTTATTTTGTCCTCACATGTAAACACCTGCAATCGACTTTTGTGAGTTTTTTGAGTTTTTCCATCCATTTCTTATAATGTTCAGTGAGAAGCGCACGCCAAAAGATTACATTTTTTAATCTTTTCGCTAGGGTTCACCCAAAGTTCATTTCCGCAGACTGGCAACGCTATGGAATTTTCTGGTATTTTTTTCGTCGATCAGGGGACCGACGTGAAAAAAAGGCCCGACGAAAAGTGAACGCCAGCTGTTTGCCTCTCGCTCTCTCTCATGACTGGCGTACGGTTTTCGATCTGGATACTAGGCTTAAGAAACAATTTGCTTTGACAAGAGGCTCCCCAAAAGATTTACAACCTCACAAAAAAACTCCTGCAATCGCCTTTTGCGGGTTTATTTTATTTTTGCCCTCCATTTTTTTAAATGTTCAGCGAGTAGTGCACGCCAAAAGAGTAAAATTTTATTCTTTTCGCTAGGGTTCCACCTTTTTAATTATCAAAATTTTTTTAAGGATTCCGTATTTCTGAAACTGAGAACTGAAAAAGTGGGCAAAAATGGGGAAACTTAAGCATATTATTAAAAAATTCGTTTTTAGTCGACCCAACTTCTTAAGACTGTAGAAATCATTTGCCCACTTCTGTCATTTTAAAACGATCACTCAAGTAATTAGGACGAAAACGCAATTATCTTAATATTCACATGCACCAGGCTAGCACACTTTCTTGTTTAATATTTGTAAGAATAGGTCCTCTAACACAGTATTTCGTATAACATGACTCATTGGAGCTCTTGGACCGACTGATCTAACATTTAAGGCCCTTTTAGGTACGCCCTTTTAGGTACGTACAGAAATGAACAAATCATTACAATTTCTAAAGCTAAAATTGTTTTTAGTGTTGCGTTATAATCGACATTGTGGTCGAGAAAACTATATTTTCACGTCCTCTTATTTCTCACAGGTGTGAAAAATTTTTCGCTACAGCTCTTTAAAGCCTAGTACTCAGATCGAAAAACGAGTACGCTAGCGTAAAAACTTTAATCTCTCCAGTGCGACCAACATTTCGAGAGTTCATCAGAATTATGCTTGCTACGGTCGTACTGTCAATCAGCTGGGTTTGTTGACAAGCAGTTAAAATTCAAATATCGAAATTAAAAAACAATACAATTTAAATTTAACAATGGTTGTTTTAAATTATTTGATAATTATTTGCTAATTTAAAATTCATAGCTGCACTTATAACGTGTTTTTTCGTACATTTCTCATGACTGGCGCACAGTTTTGTCGATCTGAGTACTAGGCTTTAAGCGGTTGTAAGAGGACCGTATAAATAATTATATGTTCAATTTTAAATTAATTCCAGTCCACTGTGCAAAGTCTTATCGATAGTTAATGTCATCTATCGATACATTCGCTATTGATATCACCACTACGGGCTCACTCGTCGTTTTAGTTTTTGTTAATTCTTTAATTTATTGTTCGAAAGTTTCGAAAGTGTCTTAAACGCCGAGTTGAATTGGAATAATTTAAATCGTGTAATTAATCTACAAATGTCTGTAGAGTCAATGGTGCTGCTGTTTTAGCCTATTAGTGAGCCAGCGGAGCCCCAGCCGACCAAAAGCATTCTCGGTTTGGAAATGCCATTGAAGTTCTTAAAAAAATGTCGCCAGTACAATGTCACGTCCAAGAGCTTGTTTGTTATATCAGTGCATCACCTGTTGGGTGAGTAAACTCCTTTCGTTAAAAGGGCGTAGCGCCTACAACATTAACAACACCTAGGTGACAAAGCCAAAACCTCACAGCTGCCTCTGCCCATTACACTTGTTGATTTATTTATTTGGGAATGGGAACATAATTATATTTTATTAACAGTTTAGCTAGAATTCGAGTTCCGGATGCAAAAGTGGTACTCACTATGGTTTTTTTTACTTAAGCTTGTTGGTTTATTGTGAGAGATTTTGTGTCTAATAGATTTGTTTTAATGGGTTTCATGGGTCAAAAAATAACCTTTTCCAGTCAAAAGTTTGCAACGCATTGAAGAACACATTTCCGAGGAGAATCGATCAACCCATATCCACAATCACTAACATTCTAGAGCTTACTACATTTGTGATAAACGACTCCAATAGTAGTTTTCAAACAGACGTCATTTACACTGGCTTTAGTAAAGCATTTGACTCTAAATAACTTACTTATTGTTCAAAAACTTGACCTGTTAGATTTTCAGTTGATCTCCGTATATGGATCTCAAGTTACCTGAATGGCAGGTCACAAAGGGTCCTTTTTATACACTTGCAGATGGTATTAAAATTTTTGGTCAAAAGTGTGCAACGCAGTGAAGGAGGCATCTCCGACCCTATTATTGATCAGGATCACGTCCTGAGTTGATATAAGCATGTCCGTCTGTCTGTTTCTACGCAAACTAGTCTCTCAGTTTTAAAGATACCTATAGAAATGCTATAACTTTGGTGTTTGTAGAGTTAGGAAGTTGGGATTTTCTTTGGGTTTTATTTCTGGCTAATCAATCCGACCAAATTTCATAAAGATCAACCGACTATATCCTATAGCTGCCATAAACATTAACGATCGGAAATTCCATAACTTTGGTGTTTTTAAAGTTAGGAAGTTGTGATTTTTTATGGGTTATAATTTTGGAGAATATAATTTACAGAATGTTCTGCAAGGTTATATCACTAATCATACAACATATAGACTGGTCATTTCATACAACGAAAATGGACACAAAAATATTTTTGCGGGAGGCCCCACGGCTCTTAGCGGCAGGCCCCGGACACTTCGTGTACCTTCGGGTTTTTTGCGCTCTCATTCTTATTCTCATTTTCATGCTTGCGCACTCATTGCACGAGTTCGGTCGTTCAGTCGCAGAGACGAGCATTTTGAAGAAGGTTGCGCTGCGCTTGAATTGGTCAGGTGCATCCCTGCAGTACCGTTCATCACCTTTTAATCGCTTTTTCATCACCAAAAATTCATCACTGCTGATTAATCGGCGATGAAACTTCATACAAATTAGTGATGAATTTAACATTGGCATGTCCTAGGAGTTAATCAGTGAAAAATTCATCACTCTTTAATCAGTAATTCATCACTCTTTTCAGTTTTTCATCACTCTTTAATCAGTAATTCATCACTCTTTGAACGGCGTTTACTGATGAACATGCGATGAACGAGTGATTAAAATGCGATGAAATAGTGATCACTCTTTAATCAGTAATTCATCGCTTTTTCATCTCATTTTCATCGCTTTTTCATCTCATTTTCATCGCTTTTTCATCTCATTTTCATGGCTTTTTCTTCGCTTTTTCATCGCTTTTTCATCGCATTTTCATCGCTTTTTCATCGCATTTTCATCGCTTTTTCATCGCATTTTCATCGCATTTTCATCACTTTTTCATCGCTTTTTTTCATCAGTAAAATTCATTCAGTAAATTTTCATATAAATTTCATTTTTTATTTTATTACAATATTTCATTATTATTTCATTTATTTCATTACATATAACTAATTAATTTAACTTAATTCAATCTACATATGTACGTTTTCAGTTGTCTCGGAGGTGTTGAGGATGTTTCGGTTTCGGTGCCCTTTTTTTGACTTCGTGCTTAATGTACTGGCTCTTCCTGACCAAGTATATCTAAAATAGAAAAATTATTAAAAAAATAAAAACTTACTGCGTTTTTTGTTTTGCCGCCGACCAAGTCCAGCTTAGTTTATGCTGGCCCAACAGTTTATTATAAGCTTCGCCTTAAATAATGAATAAATATATTAACAGTATATGTAGGTACAGTTCAAAATAATTAATAAAATAACACTTACCTAAATTTCTGATAAATTTAGTTATAAAATTTCACAAAAAATCTCAGCTTCGATCTGTTCTCTCCTTTCTCTCAAATGCAAGTGCACGTAAAAACCGCGAAAACAACTTCAGTTGAAAACAAGGGCGTCGTTAATCCTATTGTTCTTTCCTCTGCCTAATTTGTCTTTACATGTTTGCTTTCGTTAAAGCAGGGTATATAAAACCATGTCCGACTATGCAAAATAATCACATAACTTAAATTCACTTAAAAAAGGAATCAATACCTTTCATAATTATCATAATAATTTTATTTTTAAAAAGTATTTCCATAAAATAATATAATAAATAAGAATCAACGACTACAATACAAAAATTATGCTAATTTATTTTCAAGGGTGTATAAAGGTCGATCTGATTTTAATACATTGTCCTCCACCTCTCAGCTCATTTTATGGGGAGAGAGACAGAGTAAGAGAGGGAGATGGAAATTTTTCTGCGTTGCCTACGATCGGGGACTGAGAGTTTCGGCTCTGCCTGCGTCGCACTCGGCTCTGCCGACTTTGCCTTTGGCTCTGCCGGCGTCGCAGTCCGCTGCTGATTAAACAGTGATGAATTTTTGTAGTGATGAATTTCGGAACTGCAGGGATGTGTGCGTTTATTTCAATTCGATGCGGCAAGAGACCAATTGAAGCGCAGGCGCAACCTTCTTCAAAATGCGCGTCTCTGCGACTGAACGATCGAACTCGTGCAATGAGTGCGCGAGCATCATCTGGGCCATCTGGGTCCGTTTTTATACCCGTTACTCGTAGAGTAAAAGGGTATATTGTATTCGTGCAAAAGTATGTAACAGCTAGAAGGAAGCGTTTCCGACCCTATAAAGTATATATATTCTTGATCAGGGTCACTAGACGAGTCGATATAGCCATGTCCGTCTGTCCGTCTGTCCGTCCGTATGAACGCTGAGAACTCGGAAACTATAAAAGCTAGAAGATTGGCATTTTGCATGCAGATTCTAGGAGTTCCTACGCAGCGCAAGTTTGTTTCAAAAAGGTGCCACGCCCCCTTTAACGCCCACAATCGCTTATATACGATTTCAAAAATTTAAATATTTCGGAAAAGTAAAAATTCAGTTTTATTGTGTTTATCAATACCTATCGAAATCTAGAAGAAATTTTTCAAATCGGACCATTCGTTAAAAAGTTATGCGTGAGCAAAGTTTCTATCTCCATCTCCCTCGCACTCCCTTTACCTGACTAACGGGTATCTGATAGTCGGGGCACCCGACTATAGCGTTCTCTCTTGTTTTTTACTTTATTTATTAACGATCTTCCCTCAATTATAAGTCATTCTCGCGTACTTATTTACGCGGATGATGTTATGTTAAGCTTGCAGTATAAGGACATTTCCTGCCATTTAGACTTACAATCCGATCTAGCTAATTTTCAAATCAGATGACTTTTTTTCTGGTCAATTCGATATACGCGTCTTACACGTTAAGTGCCAGCTCTTTGGATAGAATAACTATTGTAAACGATCTTGGCGTTCTCTTGGACCCTAAACTAAAATTCTAATCACATTTCGTCCGTGGTTAATAAAGCCAGAGGAGTGTTTGGATTTATTAAAAGGTGGTCAAAAGAATTCGATTATCCTTATATAACTAAAACTTTATTTATTTCGCTTGTCCATCCGATTCTGGACGGACCAATACATATTGGTCGTATTAAATCAGTACAAAAAAAAATGTTTTTTTTGCTTTACGGCGCCTAAACTGGGATGCAAATTTTAACTTACCTTCTTATCCTAGTACACTTATATTAATTAATTTACCCTCCCTAGCCAACCGTAGAACGACATGGTGATATTGACAGCCCCGACTTGGTAAGTCGGCTAAACTTTTCTGTGTCATGTAGGTTAACTAGAAATTATATTTCCCTAATATTAAATCATTGTAGATCTAACTATGCCTTGGATGAGCCTTTCGGAGTACTATAATAGACTTTTTACTAGAATCTCAAATCTTGACTCTCTGTCGCTCCTAAAACGATTAATCATTGGCATAAAATTGATCTTACTATTACTTTTTTCCCGGACTTATTTTGTTTTCGCGATCCGTACGATACACGGATGCGCCCCTCGGTCGGTTGGGCGGGTAAGTGATCCGTGGGACTCCGCGCAAAAAAAAATCAAAAAACCCGCAAAAATCGATTGCAGGAGTTTACTTGTGAGGACAAAATAACATGAATACGATCTGTGGAGTCCTGCCCAGAATTGTGGGACTTGGAAAAAAAAAAATTTTCTTGCAACCATTATTAAAAGAACGTGGGAGGAAATAGCCTGGGAAATGAATAAAGATAATAAGTCATAATTGTACATTTGTTAACGTGGACATATACAATATTTATGTTTATATAATAGTTGCAAGCTGGAGTGCAAGTCGCTGCGGGACAGCTATAAATACCACCTTAAATGCAAGCGACCGAAGAGTGGAAGTGCTGAAGGAGTCCCACTGGAAAAGCCAAAGGGTGTTAATCTTTTGAGGTGTCTCTTGTCAGAGCCAGGCCCGATGAGAGGGGGGGACTGCCGGGTCATTTTCCCGGGGCCCGCAGTGGTCAGGGGCCCGGCAGCGAGAAATTTTTTTTCGAAAATTTAGTTATTAAGAAAAATTATTTTATATTCTTAGATCGTAGAGTTAGAATCTAAATAGAGGTTTAATTTGCTCTGCCCGCACCTCTGCCAAAGCTCTGCTGAGAGCCATGTTCGAAGCTAACTTCGGTTTCTCATTACCCCTAACATGTGCGAAGCACTAGCAATAGTATGGGGAGTTCTCGCACCAATCCTTAGGAATAAGACCAGTGCAGCAATAAGAATTCACCATGGGGCTCGAATGAAGTTCGATCAAACGAATAAACTCTTTTTTTTCCGGAAAATGCAGTTCGTCAGAAGGCAATCACATCCTTTACATTTTCCTAATGATGCTAGTGGCCACATGTTCCCTGAAGCAGTTCTTTATACTTCGCAGACCAATGGAGAAACAATTAAACGAGACTGGATTGTTTGGAGTCAGCCAAGGCAGCCACTATTCTGCTTTCCATGTCGTCTGTTCAGTAAAGTCGCAGAAAATTCAAGATCAGCTCTGACGAGATCTTCAGGATTTTCTGGTGAGAAGAATTGGAAGAAATTGGTGGATCCTCTACTTCAAGAGAATATCAAAAGCGAAGCAGCTCGTTGGAGAGAGCTACTTTGAAAAATTCTGCAAGGAGTATTTTATTTGGGTTTTTCTGGAAATATCGAGAGCTTGATCAAGAAGATCTCAAAAGACAGACGAGATCATTTTGTGATACCTACCATGTAGATGTCTCTATCGATTTAATCGATGAAATTATCCATCTGATGGCTATCCATGAAGCAAATTTAGGACCCGATATTCTTCCACCCTTACAGCTACTGAATGAACTTCATAAAGTGAAGATGGATGTTCTGTTCCCAAACATCTGTATTTCACTCAGAATATTCTGTACTATTCCTGTTAGCATAGCTGAAGGTGAACGTTCATTCAGTCTCTTAGTTCGGATACAATTTTTTTGCGGTCTACCATGAGTCAAAAACGTTTGACAAACCTTGGCACTCTAGCACTGGAATCAGGACTTGCCCGTAATCTCGATTTCAAAGCAATTATTTCGATGTTTGCCGACCAGAAAGCCCGTAAGGCCTATTTAACTATGTTCTACAAGTCTAATCAGATGATCTTCACCCGAAATTTAACCAAAGGAAACCAAATACGCACTGATATGTGAATAAACGTACTATAAATATTGGAACAATAACACAAGATTTTATTAGTAACAATCTCCCAATGCTATTTTTATCGTTATCAACCAATCCATACAACTTTTTAATTCTAATAAGAATCGAAAAAGGGACGTGAAAAACATATGTCCCAGGGCCCGGTGTGGCTCTCAACGGCCTTGGTCAGAGCAAAGTGTATCTTAGGTCAAAAATCTACGAAAAAACACAATAAAAAACTTACAAAAATCGCCTGTAAGAACTATGTGCAGCTATGAACTTATAATTAGCAAATAAATATCAGTAAATTAAAAAACAAAAGCTAAATTTAAATGTCATTGTTTTTTAATTTCTTTGTACAGAAGCAGACTTGTCTTGAAAAGGGAGTTGATAATATCATTTAAAGGCTCTTTCCCGCAAATACGATATTTGAATTGTAACTGCTTGTCAACAAACCCAGCTGATTGACAGTACGACCGTATCACGCTTAATTCTGATGCACTCTCGAAAATAGATTAGGAAAGATTAAAGTTTTTCAGCTAGCGAACTCGTTTTACTAGGCTCTAAAGCCTAGTACTCAGATGAACAAAATCCGTTCACCAGGTATGAGAGTTTTTTTTTTTATAGATTTTAGAAGACGCTACACAAGGATGGAACTTGTTTTCGTGTATTGACCAATTATTTCTAAAGATCCCAAAAAAGCGGGTAGCGGGTGCTCCATATTTGGGCAAATCAGGTTCGGACATAGCCGGTCAAAAGTTAATCAGGATGTTGTTACAGAAGACGTCTGTGTCTGTCACGGCCGAGAATAAGTCTGCCGGGTGTCGTCTGCAGAGACGCCGTCGACCCAGTGGTGTTGCAAGATGTCTTGCCAGGCAGTTTGCATGTGTGAGCAGACGTTCCCGGTATCGACTTGAGGATTGACTAATCGTCTCCGTTACCGTCGGCACTCCCGTGTCCTGGAATATAACTCGGTTTTCTACATAATGGTGCCACTTCACCCCCAGCATCCTCCTGAGAGCCTTTGTAATGCACGTTTGCACTCTTTTTAGTGACGAATCACAGGCCGTGCCCCAGCAAGTGAGCCGCACCTTGGCTTCAAGGGATAGGCCGCTACCTGGATGAAGGAGCCAGTCCATTTTGTCAAGTTTTGTTCTTGCTGATCCACAAACTTGATCAATTTGCCCCTTTCAACAAAGGCGACGGTCTAAGGTAACTCCGAGGTACGTCACCTTATCTTCGTGCTTGAGCCTATTCCCATCGATGTAAAGGCTACGCGAACGGCCAGGGCGGAGAGCAAATGTGGGATGCTACGTTTTGTCAACATTAAGCGCAATGTTCCATCGAGAGGCCCAGCACTCAAATTCGTCCAAGAATGTCTGGACACGTCGGGAGGCAGACGTAGAGGTGCTACCAGCTGCAAGAAATGCAGTGTCATCTGCATATGTGGCCAGGAGTGTACGACGAGCAACTGGGGTTGGAAGATCCGAAGTGTAAATTGTATACAGGACCGGACCAAGGACGCTTCCCTGCGGGACACCAGCACGAATTGGGCGAAGTCCAGAACGGTGTCCACGAATATCTACAGCAAACTCCCTCTTATTTAAGAACGATACAATGAGCTTCCAGAGCCTTTCAGGCAAATGCGGGATTAGTTTGTAGAACAGTCCTTCGTGCCAAACCCTGTCAAAGGCCTGTCGAACGTCGAGAAAAACGGGTGAGCAGTATTTGTGGTCTTCGAAAGCCCCCAGAACATGGTTAATTATTCTGTGCACTTGCTCGATAGCACTATGGCGACTACGGAATCCAAACTGGTGGTTCGGAGAGAGAGAGAGAGAGGCAAATAGCTGGCAAACACTTTTCGTCAGGACCCTTTTTAACCCCTGTACGCTGCTTTTTAATAGTTTGTCGAAATGCAAACGATTTTTTTTTAAAACGAGATTGTAATGTATATAGCCCTTAAGATTACTCAATTTTTGACAAAAAACTTTCTTTCGAACATGAAATTTCGCAAAAAGTATGGTGGCCGGAGAATATACTCGTAAAATGGTATAAAGCTTTTAAGTCTTTCTGAACATAAATGATTAAAAAAATTAAAAACAAAATTGTTCGAATACGTGTTCTGTTTTAAATCTTTCCTATTCAATATTTCATTTTGATTTTTTCACTAAATGAAGATTTAATTTCACGTTGACATTCGTCAATTGATACACTAGTTTAATTTTGATAACATCCGAAAAACCCTTCTATGAATTTAAAAGGATAAAGAAGTAAAATTTTTTGATCTGAATACTAATAAAAAATATATTTTTGTTTAAAACCAAAGCCTCTGATATCGCACCTTCCACATTCAAAATATCTTTTATCAAATAATGTGACGAAACATGATTAGACATATAAATAAAAAATACACTCTTTAAAAATGTCTGTGTAAGCAAAATTTTAAATTCTTTGCTAAATCGGGCTGAAATTGAAAAACTGAAAAATTTAAATTTTATTAAGGCGAATGTTTAATTATTTTTCGTCAAAAACACAATGTGATTGTTTACGGATGGTAAACAAAATGCTCTAGCAGAAATTAAAAAGTTTGTCTAATAACCAGAACCATTATAAACTAAGCACCTTCGTTTGTTAACCGTTAAGACCGGTGGTCAGATTACGTTTTCACTATCATCTCTATTGCAGACACCTCCAGCACGGTGGATTGCACGATCAGCTCAGAGAGCAAAGGGCTGGAGTGCATGGACAACGTTTGTCAGCGTCTCCTGATTCAGCAGCCGGAGTTTTTCGGACTGCGCTACTTGGTCAAGGGTAAGGACAAGGAAGACGAGTATAAATGGATTGACCTCGAGCGCTCTCTCAGCCGGCAGCTGGAAAAGTACGCGGCAGGGCCGAAGATTTACTTGCGAGTGCGCCACTATGTGACCACGGGTGTACGACACTTGAGCGACGAGGCCACGCGCTTCTACTACTTCCTGCAGCTGAAAAGTGACATTTACGAAGGCCGCATCGCCTGCGACATCCGCACGGCTATCCTGCTGGCGCTGTACTGCCGACAAGCGGAATACGACAGCTACCAGGGCGACAAGCAAAGCAAAGACTACCTGAAAAAGTCTCTGATACTGCCGCGCAACATGCAGGGCTTGGCCAACGACGACAGCATGCTGGAGGGTCTGATCGTGGAGGTCCTGCAGCAGCAGACAGGCCTGGCACAACGGGGCCAGAGCCAGGCAGAGGAGATGTACATACAGTGCTGCCAGCAGCTTGATGGATATGGGGAGGAGCGATTCGCCGCCAAAGACACCCTCGGCAACGATCTGCTGCTGGGTCTCGCTATCAACGGTATGGTGGTGAACACCCACAATGGGCGCCAGTATTTTCCGTGGAAAGACTTCCACACGGTGACAATCGACAAGCGCACGATCAAGATCGAGCAAAACAAGCTAGACGGGGGAGGTAGCATCGTGGGCAGTTTTATTTTTGGAGAGGCCGACACGGCGCGCTACTTCTGGAAGCTCACTATCAGCCAACACAAGTTTTTTAAGCGCTACATCGACACCACCACGCCCTCGAGCCTGGGAAGTGGTGTAGACGTGGAGAGCGGCCAGCTGGGCGGTGATGCTGTCGGTTACATGGACTATGATTACGTCGAAGCGGCGGCCGCCGAGCAACTACAACAGCATCAACATATTCAGCAGCAGCAGCCTGTCCAACAGCAGCATCAGATGATCTCCTCGAACATTTCGCTGGCTGCCAGCGCCAGTCAGTTACTGGGACAAAGCAGCTCCTGCCTTGACTTGAGCAACAACAACTTGCACAGCAGCAGTGGCATGCTGAAACATGGAAGCAGCAGCAATAACAACAACGAGGACCGAGAGCGCCTCAAAGCAATGCTCCCCACATACCGTCCTGCGCCAGACTATGAGACGGCAGTGCAACTGAAGTATCGCACACCTTCCGCGGAGCTGCACAACGTGACAGTTGCATTGGCTGCGACCGGGACTGCCTACTATACGGGTTCCCAGCCGGATGTCCATAATACAGGCGTGCATAATGAAAACTTACTGTATAGTCACCTGACTGCGCATCATTATCCGGACGTGGCACAGCCGGCCGCTGCCCTTCACCACCACATCAACTTATACCCTATGCAACAGCAACCGCAGTCACATTTACAGCCTATAAGCACGACCCAGGCATATTTGGAGCTCTCACAGCGCATGCAAATGATGCGCCACAAGGTGCCGCCGACGTATGTTAATCGGCTGAGTTCCTCCTCCACGCCCGACCTGGCCGTAGCTACGCCCCGTCCGCTGCAGGGCTACCGAAACTATGTAAGCGGTTCCTCTCCGGATCTAGTCTCTAACCGCACCCTCTTTAACGGCGGCCAGTTCTTGGCTCTGGCCGCTGGAGGACATGCCGGGAACATTCCCACCTCCTCCGGAGCCACCATGCTTCACCAGTATCAGTATGTGGGCCACATGGGGCACTCGCAGCCTTACTTGCCTCCGCACGGCACCTTCGAGAACCTGAACATGATAGAAGAGCAACCTTCCATCATGACACAGCTGCGTCAGTCAGCGATGAGTCAGGCAGCTGCTGCAGTTGCGGCGGCTGTGGACACACAGAGGTAAGCAGTGCGTGTAGGTATATGTTGGTCAGACAGATTTTTGATACAATTGGAAATGTTATACTCAATATACTCAAGCATACCTAAAGAAGTATCTCCCTGTGTCTTTGTGTGACTTTTGGAAAATTGGTAGGCTTTAGATTGATATTGTTGGTCCTTGAAATCGATTGTCTTTTTGTAATTAGCACTTGGCAGGGGATTCCGGAATGTAATGGGTTGAAAGTCCTTACCAAAGTCATTTTTAACAGATATCCTTTAATATGATCCTTGTCTGTTTTTTGTCACCAAAAGCCAAGGGTCGGTCTCTGGGCCGAAATAAAATGAATTAGTTGTAATTTAGTTATTCTGTTTCATAAAAATTTGAAAAATTACATTTAATTATATTTATTAGTTTAAAAACAAGAGAGAACGCTATAGTCGGGTGCCCCGACTATCAGATACCCGTTACTCAGGTAAAGGGAGTGCGAGGGAGATGGAGATAGAAACTTTGATCACGCATAACTTTTTAATGAATGGTCCGATTGGAAAAATTTCTTCTACATTTCGATAGGTATTGATAAAAACAATAAAACTGCATTTTTACTTTTCCGAAATATTTAAATTTTTGAAATCGTATATAAGCGATTGTGGGCGTTAAAGGGGGCGTGGCACCTTTTTGAAACAAACTTGCGCTGCGTAGGAACTCCTAGAATCTGCATGCAAAATTCAGATTAATTTTTCCGTCTGTCTGTTTGTCCGTCTGTCGGTTTCTACGCAAACTAGTTCCTCAGTTTTAAAGCTATTTGGATAAAACCTTGCCAGAAGTCTTTCTTCTGTTGACAGGTAGTTAAATTTAAATTGTAATGGTCCAGATGAGCCTACTACATAATATAGCTCCCATTGGAACAATAGGAAAAAAGGGAAAAAAAATTAAAACAAGAAAGGAAAGCTAACTTCGGGCGGAGCCGAAGTTGATATACCCTTGCAGAATATTCTGTAAATTATATTCTCCAAAATTATTTATATGATGCATTCTTAATACTCATAAAAAATACCAACTTCCTAACGTTAAAAACACCAAAGGTATGTAATTTCCAATCGTTCAGTTATATGGCAGCTATAGGATATAGTCGGCCGATCCTTATGAAATTTTGCAGGTCGGATTGATTGGTCAAAAATAAAACCCATAGATAATCCCAACTTCCTAACTTAACAAACACCAAAGTTATGGCATTTCCGATCAATCAGTTATATGGGGGCTATAGGATATAGTCAGCCGATCCTTATGAAATTTGGTAGACTGATTGGCCAAAAATAAAACCCATACATAATCCGAACTTCCTAACTTAACAAACACCAAAGTTATGGCATTTCCGATCGTTATATGGCAGCTATATGATATAGTAGCCCGATCCGGCTCGTTCCGACTTATATACTACCTGCAATAGAAAGACAACTTTTGGGAAAGTTTCAAGTAGATAGCTTTAAAACTGAGGGACTAGTTTGCGTAGAAACGGACGGACAGACGGACGGACAGACGGACATGGCTTGATCGACTCTCCTGGTGATGCTGATCAAGAATATATATACTTTATAGGGTCGGAAATGTCTCCTTCACTGCGTTGCAAACTTTTGACTGAAATTATAATACCCTCTGCAAGGGTATAAAAATAATATTCCATTCTAAGATTGGTATTGTCTTTACTGTGTATACCCTTGCGGGGACATTTCCGGCCTTATAAAGTATATATATTCTTGATCAGCATCACCAGGAGAGTCGATCTAACTGTGTCCGTCTGTCCGTCCGTCCGTTTCTAAGCAAAGTAGTCCCTCAGTTTAAGAGCTATCTGTTTGAAAGTATCCCAAAAGTTGTCTTTCTATTGCAGGTAGTATATAAGTCGGAACGAGCCAGAGCGGATCCCAAAGGAACAATCGGAAAAAAATTTTAAAAAGTATAACTTTGTTCTTTTTTTTGTTTTGTTTCGTTGTTTGGGATTTGGTAATATTTAAATACTATGGAATTTCGGTTTTAATTAAATTAAGATCGGACTTCTATATAATAAAGTTCCCATAGAAAAATCGAAAAAAAAAAAATGAAATAAAATTTTTATTTTCCTGTTTTTCTGTTTATTAAAATATTCCTTTAAGATATAGTAATTATTTACTATATCACAATTACGCTTTTAGTATTGTTAAAATCGGACAACAATATCAAATAGCTGCCATAGAAACGATGGCAAAATCAAGCGCAAAATCGACATAGCTTTATTTTTTTTAGAAATATAGGCATAGAAATCAAAATGTTTTGTCATAACTGCAAGGGTATATAAACTTTGACTTGCCGAAGTTTGCTTCCTTTCTTGTTTTCATTTAAGTTGCGAAATAATCTTAAAGACAGCGAAAAGTTTGAGAGATCATTATTGTACAAGTATTGAATTTAACATTTCAATAAGTCTAAGTAAAGCATTCAATAACTCTTTTGGTAATAACTCAATTAGTTGCTTTTGTTTCGGCGATTAAGAAGGGAACTATTGGCAATGCAAATGTATATTCATCTTCAACATGACAACACATTTTTGGTTTGACTTGTTATAACCGTTTTTGATGGCTTTAGGGTTATTTGTTCTTAATTTTAAAAACTTACGCTCAGTCTTGCCAAGTTAGATATTTTGAAGTTATTGCGAATGTGTTGTATTATTTTTTTAATTTGGCTATTATTTCTTTCGTGGTAATGTCCAATTACTATTACTATTAACATTTTGAATCTGATCACAAGAAAAAGAAGCCCTATTTTTAAATAAATCACTTTAAACTATTTCTTTTATTAAGAACATGCAAGAAAGAAAACAAACTTCGGCAAATCGAAGTTTATATAGCCATGTCCGTCTTATTTAATACCGTTTGCTCAGCTAGCGATCTGAAACTTTCACATCCTTAAATATGTGTACGCAAATCAAAACCATAGGAACTATCGGATATACCTAGCAAGAAACGTTCCACCGTTTTAGTAGACCCATGCTTCGCAATCAAGAGAGGTAATTTTATCTGATAAATCATGTAAATCATATTCAACTGATCTGTGCTTTTTGGATAAAAATCATTTATTTTAACAGAGAGTTAATAGTTTCCTAATAGCTAAAATAAAAAAACTATTGGTAAAAAACTGGGTGCAAATCGTGCTAAAGTCTTAGGCTTAGCGATTTTTAAAACCCTAAAAGCCTGGGAGTCCGTTGGAGCCGAATCATAGACGAATTATAGATGTCGGAATCTGCGTTGAGGAGCTATGTCTTGCCACAGTCTTATTAAAAGTCATGTACATGCTTCCAAACTCCTAAAACGGCTGTGCCTCTGTCTGCTGTTGTTAAACTTATAAAATTTCATTATGAATGGGAATGGGAATGACCTTGTCCTTTCGGGAACCCCAATCTCATAATTTAAATAGCTTCCAATTTCGCATTTAGCTGGATGGCACAAGTACATGATAAATTATCTTTTCTATTTTAGAATTTCGTGTGCAAACATAGAGCAGCTAATTTCTGGACATATGCGCTTTATTGTTTTCTTTTTAAATCAAAGATTAATATTTTTACTTTTGGCATCATAAACATATCAGTTTGTAAGGATTACGATCTTAAGACGCCATATACCAAAATTAATGTAACCAGTACTCGTGTCGTTTAGATGTTTTGTCCAATTTAACGATTTCCTTAAGGGAATATTCTGTTCTGACAAATAACAAGAAAGGAAAGCTAACTTCGGGCGGAGCTGAAGTTGATATACCCTTGCAGAATATTCTGTAAATTATATTCCTAACTTTAAAAACAACAAAGTTATGGCATTTCCAATCGTTCAGTTATATGGCAGCTATAGGATATAGTCGGCCTTATGAAATTTAGTAGGTCGGATTGATTGGCCAAAAATAAAACCCATAAAAAATCCCAACTTCCTAACTTTAAAAACACGAAAGTTATGACATTTCCGATTGTTCAGTTATATGGCAGCTATAGGATATAGTCGGCCGATTCCCTCCGTTCCGACTTATATACTGCGTGCAAAGGAAAGAAGGGTGTGTGCAAAGTTTCAAGTCGATATCTTTAAAACTGAGAGACTAGTTCGCGTAGAAACAGATAGACGGACATGCTTATATCAACTCAGGACGTGATCCTGATCAAGAATATTTATACTTTATAGGGTCGTTGCACACTTTTGACCTTTTTTTCGCGCCTGATTGAAAAACAAGATATTCTTATAGCTCGTGGGCATCGTTTCGAAAAAGACAGTTTGCAAAAAAAAGCTATTGGGTAAAATAATTTGAATTTTGAAAAATCCTCTTAGGGATAGAATAACCTTTAAATATATCACACGAATAAGAAAACCTACTCATTCGTTTTAAATAAATGATAGCTTAGTCTTTTCCCAATTAATTTTCAGTTTTAAATGTATAATTATAAATTAAATTTATAGTTATAACTCACGTTAAAGTAGAGGTGTTTAAAAAATTTTATTTTATGAGAAAGCTTTAAATTAATACTTTCGACGCTCTATTGATCTTTTAGTTCCCCTACACTGCCGTCGAGTGGATTTCGCCCTTCTGTCCCACCGCCAGCCAGCAGTCCTCTACCACCGACAGTGGCTGCTTCTGCCCACAAGTCAACCACGTCCACGCCCACGCCTCTTCAGCGGAACTTGCTGAACGACTCCATCGAGCCCATATACGAGAATGTCCCCCTAACCCAGCGAGCCTCAGGCGGCAGTAGTGGGGCCACGAATATGGAGACCATGCGTCTGCGAGCTTCGTCCATACAATCGGCTCCTGGTGTTGTCCCTGCTCGAGCTGCAAGAAACGCCAGCACCAATAACTTGGTGACTGTCACAGTCACAGATGATGGAAACATAAAGAAGTACGGGGCGGACCGGGCAGCAAGTACGGAGCTGCTCTTCCTGGAGCCGCATACGCCTAAGCGCACCACAAGAGCCGCCAGTGCTGTTCCGGATATGGGCACCATAACTCCGCCTCGGCAACATTTCTCCACAGCCAGTCACAATAAGTCAACTACGGTTGAAGCGATATTGCCGGCCGGAGAGTCACTGCAACAGCAATTTTGTGCCATGAATCTAACTGCAAACACATCAGCTTCCACCTCCTCTGTGTTCAACTCGACTCTGGACACCACGTCATCGTCAGTGGCCAGCAAGGACTCAAAACGCAAGAAGCGTTGGAACTTCTTATCGCGTAGCAAAACACCCGACAAGCAGAAGTCCGCCACGCTGGGTAGGGAAAAGGCCTTGACGGTAGGTCAGCACGCCAAGCTGGCGGCAAAGTTAAAACTGGCCCAAGATGATCTCAACCTTCCAAATCGTTGGTCCACGGGCGTCAGTAAGCCGCAGCCCATTTCTGGGAGATACTCCAAGGACAAGCTGGTAGGTGATAATTAAACAATCGAGTACAATGACTATAAGATTACTCAGATGGGTGGGGCCATTTGCCGAACGGCAGTGACAACATAACAATTCTTTAGATTTCTTCCTTTCTCTATACATATTAATATAAATGCCGGTTTTTTAAATATGCAGTGATGCCATAATAAAACTTACCAATTAACTCCAAAAATAGATATACATATTTTTTGACATGGCAACATCATTAACTGACGATACAAATTAACATTATATATTAATAGTTTAAAGATTGGCGATTTTCAAAATGTCAAATTAAATTCTTAACAATATGGCCTATCAAACTATTTTTAAAGAACCGAATTATTTATAATTTGTATTTATTAATTACTTAATAAAATGTATGTTCCATTCCTTTATAATGCATTCTTTTGTTACTAACAGTGCCAAATACTGGATGAGAAGCTTAGTGACTGTCAGTTATTTATGGAGTTTGAACGCATACCGAAGCGAAGGGAGCACGCACTATATGAGTGCGCCCTGCTGGAGGAGAACGAACCAAAGAACCACGACCCAAACTTTTTACCCTATGATGACAATAGAGTGCGACTGACGCCATCGATGGACAATCGACATGGTTACGTTAATGCATCGTACATATCTGTGCGTTTATTTTTAATGCAAAGTCAAAAAAATATATTTTGGAAATTAATATTTTTTGTATTTTTTAGTCTACTGTTGGCACTAAGCAGAGGTTTTACATTGTGGGCCAATCCCCGCAAAATACGCTTAATATGCGCATTTTCTGGCAGTGTGTCTGGGAAGCTGATGTGTATTTGGTGGTTCAGCTAACTGAGGATATGAGCTATATTCCCCTTAGTAGTCAGCAGCGTCTGGAGTTTGGACAAGTTTGTGACCCCTAAAGACACGAAAAATCTTTTTAGTCAAACCTTCCTATTTCCAGTTCCAAGTGTATCAGGAATTCTCACAAACCACTGATCGCTGCACCACCATTAAGTTGCGCCTTTACCACGTATCATCGCGTCGGTACCGTTCCGTCTGGTATCTGCAGTATGCAGATTGGGTGGAGCAGAATTGTCCACGCGACGTTAACCACTTTTTAGACTTTCTCGAAGAGCTGAACTCAGTAAGACTGGCATCCACACAAGAAGTTCCGCCCGGACACAACACAAACCCACCGGTTCTAATACACTGCCTGGAGGGAGGCGGACGATCGGGCGTAACCCTTACTGCAGATCTTCTGCTTTATACCCTGGACCACAACGAGGTAAGCGGTAAACATTTAATTAAACTTTTGTTTCAACTTTCTTTTTGGTCTTTGCAGGACTTAGATATACCTCGTGTCATTGGCCAGCTGCGGCATCAGCGGGACAGCATTATACCTTCTCTGGCGCAATACAAGTTTATTTATAACCTGCTCATCACCTATTTAAAGCGCACGAGGTTGATTTAATGTTGATGTTATACAAAAAAATCTTGGCTTGTTGTTTTCGTCGTAGAAGCTGAAACAACTTAAAATAACAATGTTACTTAAAACCTTGTTTATAGCCACCAAAATACTTTTAAATATGTATATTTCCATTCAAACAAATTTTTTTTGATTGGCAGCCGTTTGTCCTAAAATAGTTGCATTTTTAAAGTAACTTAGTTTTAACTCAGATTTGTAATCTAAACCCCTTATAACGGCTTCTTCATATAAATAAATAATACTAAATATAGCTAGTAAATTGGTTTGGTAGGCCCGTTAAAATGCCAGCTAACCAGACACAGCCACACAAATTCTGCTTAGGCTAAGAGCCAAACTATATTCTTGAATTTGATCAAAATCTTAAATAAAAATTAACAAATTGATAAAAAATATATGTTGGTTACTGTTTTTACCAAAAGAACAAGAAAATCGAATTATTATACTAATTTATAAAATTAATTAGACACAATTTTGTTCAAAATTAATTAGACAAAATGTTTTTTTCAATGTTTTAATTTTGTAAACTAGAGTTATTAGTCACGGAGTTCTTACTCTTGCATTGCCCAATTCGAGCCACATGTGTTCACAATGATGGTGGTCGCGAAAAAAACCTTACGCTCACCGTTACATGTGGTAGAAGAGCTTTTACTGTGTTCTACTGTTTTTTTAGATTTAATAAGAAGGTAGTTGGTAGATGTGGTGTTTTATATGCCAGACTTCGGCCACTTGCAAAGAATTATTAAAATAAGATAAAAAAAAAGCTCAAGGGAAATGGGAAGTCACATTGAAGAGCCCTACTATGTCCTCTCCACTTCTTCTTCTGTATCAGAATATCAGAATATTATACGCTTCCTTAGTAAGCTGACTTAATTATACTCTGTTATTTTTTCCTTGCCATCTCATGTGATTGCAAATAGCTCAGAAGATTTGGCTTATATGTTGTTCACCACCACATTAAAAAAATATCCGGGTTGAGCCATTGTTTTGGAATGCTAAAATCTCTGATTTTTAACAATTTAGATCTTTAAAAAATATATCATTAAAGGTAACACGTTTAATTTTCCTCGGAATTTATAGTCTTTGTAAGTTTTATTTTCGGGTAAAAGAGTATTTATAGGGATATTTCATTGGATTTCTTACAGCATTAAAATAAAAATTGTTGGGCGATTATCTACTACTATTTTTTCTCCAATTATTTTTTTGTCTGACTGTCCGTCCGTCGGTTTCTACGCAAACTAGTCCCTCATTTTTAAAGCTATTTGGATAAAACCTTGCCAGAAGTCTTTCTTCTGTTGACAGGTAGTTAAATTTAAATTGTAATGGTCCAGATGAGCCTACTACATAATATAGCTCCCATAGGAACAATAGGAAAAGGGGAAAAAAATTAAAACAAGAAAGGAAAACTAACTTCGGGCGGAGCCGAAGTTGATATACCCTTGCAGAAAATTCTGTAAATTATATTCTCCAAAATTATTTATATGGTGCATTCTTAATACTCATAAAAAATCCCAACTTCCTAACGTTAAAAACACCAAAGTTATGTAATTTCCGATCAATCAGTTATATGGCGGCTATAGGATATAGTCAGCCGATCCTTATGAAATTTGGTAGGTCAGACTGATTGGCCAAAAATAAAACCCATAGATAATCCCAACTTCCTAACTTACCAAACACCAAAGTTATGGCATTTCCGATCGTTCAGTTATATGTCAGCTATATGATATAGTAGCCCGATCCGGCTCGTTCCGACTTATATACTACCTGCAATAGAAAGACAACTTTTGGGAAAGTTTCAAGCAGATAGCTTTAAAACTGAGGGACTACTTTGCTTAGAAACGGACGGACGGACAGACGGACACAGTTAGATCGACTCTCCTGGTGATGCTGATCAAGAATATATATACTTTATAAGGCCGTAAATGTCCCCGCAAGGGTATACACAGTAAAGACAATACCAATCTTAGAATGTAATATTATTTTTATACCCTTGCAGAGGGTATTATAATTTCAGTCAAAAGTTTGCAACGCAGTGAATGAGACATTTCCGACCCTATAAAGTATATATATTCTTGATCAGCATCACCAGGAGAGTCGATCAAGCCATGTCCGTCTGTCCGTCCGTCTGTCCGTCCGTTTCTACGCAAACTAGTCCCTCAGTTTTAAAGCTATCTGCTTGAAGGTAGTTTATAAGTCGGAACGAGCCGGTTGGGGTGGTATAGTTCCTTTGAAATATAGTAATTATTTACTATATCAGAATTACGCGTTTAGTTTTGTCAAATTCGGACAACAAACCAGCTATTGTTATAACTGACTTTTTTCATTGTATGTCTGTATGGCTATACGTCTGAGTGAGCTCTCCAGAGTGGAATTTTATTGCTGGTGGGAGAAAGCTGTTCTACGTAGTCACGTTGAGTTTGGTTTTTTACTTTAAATAAAGTTTTTTTAAGTTCACGACAAGTGCTATTAGTGCTACCTTGTTTTGTTTTTTTTTTAATATTACGTTTTTTATCTGACAACAAGTAAGCAAATCTTAATCTCATATATTTTTATACCCTGGCAGAGGGTATTATAATTTCAGTCAAAAGTTTGCAACGCAGTGAAGGAGACATTTCCGACCCTATAAAGTATATCTATTCTTGATCAGCATCACCAGGAGAGCCGATCTAGCCATGTCCGTCTGCCCGTCCGCCCGTCTGTCCGTCTGCCCGTCCGTCCGTTTCTACGCAAACTAGTCCCTCAGTTTTTAAGCTATCTGCCTGAAACTTTCCCAACAGTTGCTTTCTATTGCAGGTAGTATATAAGTCGGAACGAGCCGGATCGGGCGACTATATCATATAGCTGCCATATAACTGAACGATCGGAAATGCCATAACTTTGGTGTTTTTAAAGTTAGGAAGTTGGGATTTTTTATGAGTATTAAAAATGCATCACATGCATAATTTTGGAGAATATAATTTACAGAATATTCTGCAAGGGTATATCAACTTCGGCTCTGCCCGAAATTAGGTTTCCTTTCTTGTTTTTAATTAATTACAATAAATTATTTAGAAAACGGCCCTAACTATTGATGCTGGGTGGAAAGGTCTCTTCGCCTTAGTCGTGTTTCCACATTGTCGATTTCGTCGTTAACAGATCCTACATTTTAATCTTTGTGAATATTTATTATTCGGTGTGTACCACCATGCCCCAGCTATAGTTCTAAATATCTTTGTTGAGCCTTCTGGATTATTTCTAAGTTACGTTTCTCCATAGCTCAGAGCCATATTTTGAAATTGGTTTAAGGACTGTAAGGTACAAAAGTTCTTTGAAGAGTTATTTTAGCTACGATTTGCTTACGCTAAGTAAGACTGGATTCCGGAGGCTCTGCACTGTAAGTAATATAGAGTGTCGGTGCAAGCATGCTACCTTGTGGTAGACCTGCCTTAATCAGATGATATTTAGAGGGAATACTTAAATTTTTTATGGGCTTTCAATGGAAATATTATTATGATTTTATGAATTTAGGCGTCCAGCTAAACGCGGCCGAATGCTTTGGCGAAATTACGAATAACTGCGGACTGCGTATCTCTAAGTTGATCCGGCTTACTTGTTCAATCCGCGTTTTTTGCATTGGGATGGGATTATGCGCCTGTAGCTATGGCTTGATTCAAGAGCAGCTTTTAAAATATCGTTGATAGGCACGGCAGGAGACTTATTGGTCTATATGACGATGCCTTGGTCTTGACCTTTCGGGCTTCATAGATTATTGATGATAGCATTTTTCTATTTTCTATTTTTTTTTTCTATTTTTTTTTTTTCTTTTGAGACTATGACTCTTGTAACGTCTCCTTATTGAAATATAGTAGACAGGGTAGCTTCAGGAATGTTGGCAATCGGCAGCACATATGTTTGTATGTAAAGATGATTTACTTTCGATTTGTGCACTTATGCCTGATTTATCTTTTCACAGTGGATATCCTTTGCTGATTTGGGAGAGTGTCCCATATAAGAGATTTGAGATCGTTTTCTTCTTCTAGACCTTGAGTAATGGGTAGTTGGCTATTTTTATCCGGTCCTTCGAAGAAGGATTACATGGCTTTTCATAGGATCTGTGGGCCAGTATGTAGGCTTGCCCGGAATGAAGTCAAGCTTGTTTCGTGTTGGTGAGCCGAGATCCCCAATGGATGTGCTTTGTATTGTAGTCACCAGCTGTTATAAAGTGCGATTCTTGATCAGAATGCCAGTGCCTCCATAATCCTTATCTTTATGATGACTTGTTAATCTAGGAACTACTGCCATTTGCATTCCAGAAACATTTTTTGAATGAAAAAAATTAAAAACATTTTTGTTTGATTAAAAGCTCCAGGGCATTTGGAGAGACTCAGGATCGCAGTGTTCGTATTTCGTTTGTGGGGTTAGCCGCAGTATATAGGACAAAAAGAGTAGGCCCAAGTACGCTTCCTTATAGTACTCCAGCTTCAATCATGTATTCGTCCAAAGTTGCTGCTTTGCATCTCATTTTGATTTTATGCATGAGCGCATGAAGCCACATTGAGGAATATAGCGCTACAATATTCTCTATGCTCGAAAGCTGAGCGTATTTCTGTAATATTTCTGTTAACTTCCTCGAGGATCCAAAGTTTTTCTTCGGAAGCCAAACTGGTGTGGCGGGACAACATTGTGTGCTTCCAGATATGATATTATGCGCTTTAGAAGGCATTTTTTGAACAATTTAGTCAAACAAGATAGTAGGTTTAATAATCTGTTCGATGTCGGTTTTGTGAGAATTTTTTCCGGGCTTCGGTATTATTATGATGATCTATTTTTTCCACTTCTTTGGAAAGTAGCCGAGATTATTGATCTGATTGAAGAGTTTACAAACGATCTTAATAGCACAGTTTCCACTTCTTTGGGGCTGAACATTAGGGAACTCACATACTTTTTTTTTGCTTTGAAGAAGTGTTATCAGCACAGGCGAGTGGTCTGAAGATCCGAAAGTATGGTATGGTATGTTTTGACACAGCAAAATTAATAAGATCTGGTAGCTTTCCACTGTTATTCTACGGTGCAATATATATTGGAGGTTGTAGGCTGTTTTTCTTCAAGGATTTGATGTATGTTAAGATGTCTGTTAATAACATTTGCAGTTTCGGGGCTGGTGACGTCAAGTTCAATTCCCCTTATTATCACGTGCTGACCCTTGCTGCTTTTCATTTGGTAAGTGTAATAAGTCTTTTTTGCCTTGTTCAGGTATTTAGAAACGGTTCGGAAGGGTTCTTCATATTTTGTTTGAACCTTTTTTTATGAATATTCTCATTAGTAAGCGGAATAACTTGGACGTTAACATTCCCGACCACCGCATTTAGGACGTTCGAGCTTTTCTCCCTGATATAGATTGGACGGAGCTCCCCCA